GCCTGGGCACTTCTAAGGCCATGCATGTTGATTGCTTAAATCTAAACAAAGATGTTTCTGGCTTTTCTTGTAAGCATATGCTTTATAAAGGCATAAAGCAGACATGAAAGAATATTTTATGGTTGTATAGGCTTTTGCTTTTTGAGGTATAACTCATATACAACTTCTGCATTTAGCGTGCAACTCAGTTTTTTTAGTATGTTCCCTGGGATGTGTAACCATCACCACATTAGAATATTTTTATCCTCCTGAAGACACTTGGTACCTATTAACAGTCATCCCCACATCCTTCCTTCTCTTTTTCCTCTCCCTCCAGCCCTGAGCAGCCACTGATTTATTTTGTCTGTATAAATTTTCCTATTTTGGACATTTTGATATAAAATGGTATCATGCCACACGTGGTCTTCAGTGACTGGCATTTTTCATTGAGCACAGTGTTTTCCAGGGCCACCATATGGTGACATGGACCAGCACTGCATTCCTTTTTATGGCTGAGTAATAAATACCATGTTGTGAGGCTATGCTACATTTTATTTATCCATTTATCACTTGGTGCACATATGGGTTGTTTCTGCTTTTTGCTTATCGTGAATAACATTGCCATGAACCTTTTTGTATAAGATTTTGTGAGGACGTATCTTTTCATTTTCCGTGGGTATATACCTAGGAGTGGATTGTTGAATTATGTGGTAACTCTAAATTCAACCTTTTTAGAAACTGCTAGCTAGATATTCCTAAGCAGCTGTGCCATATTTCACTCCTGCTGTACTTCAGATTCTTCATCCTCAACAATACTTGTTGTTGTCTGTTTTTTTTTTTTTAATTATAGCGAACCTATTGGGTCTGTGGTTTTGATTTCCATTTCCAAAGTGACCAACGATACTGAATATCTTTTCATGTGTTTAGTGATCATTTGTATGTCATGTTTGGAGAAATGTCTGTCTGGTTCTTTTCCTATTTAGAAATCCGTTTGTCTTTTTATTGTTGAGTTGTAAGAGTTCTTTTTAAAATCCCAGTACAAGTTCCTTATCAGTTACATGATTTGCATTCTGTGGGCTGTCTTTACTTTCTTGATAGTGACTTTTGAAGTACAGAAGTTCTTAATTCTGATCAAATCCAGTTTATCTTTTCTTTATTGTTTTTAGTGTCATATCTAAGAAACATTGCCTAACCTAAAGTAATGAAGATATATTCATTTTTTTCCTGCAGGTTTTATAGTTTTAGCTCCTTCACTTATGTCTTTGATCCATTTTGAATTGATATCTATATATGTGTGGGGTAGGGTTATAACTTCATTTTTTTTGCATACAGATATCCATTTGACCTAGTGCCATTTGTCGAAAAGACTTTCACCATTTAATTGTGTTGGCACCCTTGTTGATGCTAATTATGGGTTGCCCCCTCCCTTCATGGCTTCTTAAGTACATCTAGTAAATTCTTACATGAAACCTCTTGATGGTTTTCATTAGGATTGATGAAAGAAATTTTTTAGGTCTGCTGACATGTTTCGTGAGAATATACTTGAGCTAACTTGTCACCTCTTGATCTTTTAAACAATTGAGGTTTAACCAGTCTTTAAAGTACTGTAGAAACTACCAGAAACCACTCTGAAGAAGCCAGCCTTAAAGATGATGTGGCATCATTCCTCCACACATCTGCCCTGAGACAAAGTTACCTTTGTTTCTCCTATGGGATAGGCAGTAACAAGGATGGATGGGATGAAAAAGAATCAGTGATTGTACTGAATCTTACTATGATGAATTGAGTGATTTAAGAGTTGGTGATACTTGGTGTGAAGCCAATTACTGGGAAAAGCCTTAGAAAAAATTATCACTGGTGTGACTAGGAATCTCTGATTTCAAGACTAAGCTGTTCCTCTGGTATCGGTGAATCTGAAGGGTCTAGAGCATGTGCTATCCAGTGTGAATATAATGGGAGCCTCATTTGTTAAAAGTTCCAGTAGTCACTTATAAAAAGTAAAATGAATCAGGTTGATTTAATTTAAAGAATAGATGACATTATATCCAAAACATTATTTTAGCATTGTAATATAAAATTATTTTATATTTTTTATACAATAGTTTACATTTTTTGTAATAAATCTTGGAAATCCAGTATATATTTTACACACACAGCATATCTCAGTTTGGACTAACCATATTTCAAGTGCTCAGTACCCACGTGTGGCCAGTGGCTACCATATTGGACAGCACAGTTCTAGGTGTTTAGGTAGGATAGCCGGTTGAAATATTACATCAACATTACTCAATTTCCATACTTTACAGTATCCTGACTCATCCCTCTAACATGATAGACCTGGCTCTGGGGAAGCTTTTGCCCACATGTTCCGTGTGACCCTCATTGGAGGGACAAGAAGTACCTGCTCACCGAGACCAGTGGCTCCAGGATTCTGTTAAATGATGTAGGCAGTTCACCAAGCAGGTGAAGAAAAACAGAGAGACACACATTATGATAAAGGTTCCTGAGCCTCTCAAATGAGAGAAAATGGGCCTGTGAAAGTTAGATGGTCTTCTCCCATATCACAGATCTCCTTCATTAAGGTAAAGCAAGCTATGTATAAAAAATATTAGTGGGGCACTGGTTCTTAGATGGGTGTGATTTTGCCCCTGGGGATTTATTAATGTCTGGACACATTTTTGATGATCATAACTGGATGGTGGGGTGGGGGTGTTACTGACATGTAGTGTCCAGGAACCAGGGGTGCTGCTAGCATCCTGCAGTGTACAAAACAGCCCCACAACAGATTCTCTGACACCTTAGCATCATGCTCTGCTGGAACAAGATCCTTCAGTTCTTCTCTCCCCATTAATTGTTACATAGTTTCTTCAGGGAATATACCATGTGCTTTCTTTTGGAGAATCTCCTTATTTTCATATAAAATTTCTAAGGAAGAAACAGTCCATTTTCAGAGTATTCCTAATGGAGCATATTTGTCAAGTAGGTAGATTCTGCCCACACCCCTGAGCACTGGGCCTTGTAATTCGTTCACACATTTGTGAACTTCCCCTTTGTACAGGGGAAGTGGTGAGAGGGTTGCATTCCTCTCCTGCCTCCCCCTTCTCAGACCTGCTTGTGCCTGGGACCATTCTGCTTCCAGTAGAGCATGTATATTAAAAGGAAAATGAGCATTTGCAAGGCTCCCACAATGATTATTGCACTTCCATAACGTCTGTTGGAATTTTTGGATGTATTCTGGCAATGATGTGGGCATGTGGTTGTGATTATCCCCTTCCAGGGCTCCATCATGAGGACTGGTTAACTCAGAGTGTTACCACCACTGTGCTTCTAACGCCTGTTACCCAGGGGGCTGTACCTTTCAGTCTTAATAAATTCCAGCAAACAGAAATCAATACAAGTCATTTTCAGCTTATAAACATTCTTTAGTTGGCCATTACCTGCCAAAAGAAGTCATACTTACTAGTGTTTGCCTTTAAAATTACCTCTGGGGTGCAGTCCCCACCCTTTCCTCATGACTGCTGACTTTTCTGCTGTCTTCCACCCTTGCCCCCCTTTGTTGTGTACAGCAGATCACATAAATGAACTGTTAACAAACTTAAGTTAAAGGCAGTGTAGTAAAGGCTATTTGAGAGCTGCCAGATTTGGCAAAAATCCAGATGTCCAGCTTAGAGAGGGCCAGTAGTCCGGGCAGTGGCTCTGGCCCTACCCCTTGCTAGTAGCTACCTGTGTCAACTGGACCTTCTCAAGGTTCCAGGGCTCAAGAGTGAGCTTTGTCTCTGTGCCCCGCTAGGCTGACTGCACAGTGAGAGGAGAGAGACTGTAGAACCAGCCTTCCCTTATGCAGGGAGTAGCAGTATCCCAAAAGGTGCTTTGGGGTTGGGAGCGTGAATGTTGAGCAGGCCAAAAACATGGCAGTTGGGCCACCACATCACTGCTTAGGGATTTCCCTTGTTGCCCAGTCCAGAGACCCCCTCCCTGCTCACCCTCCTGAAACAGCCTCTGGTGAACACATCCACCAGCCTAACCCTTCGCGCCTGCCCTGCTGCCTGGTGTCAGTTGCCTCCCGACTGTACAACACCAGGTCTGGGCTGTGGTGCCCCCATTGTTAGGGCAGCTTGCCACGAAAGGGAGAGATGTGCTTCTGGCATCCAAGTGGAGACCTTACTACCCTCAAATTTCCTTACTGGAGCATGGTTAGAACTAGCTGTTAAATTGTATAGTTAGTGAAAGCTTGTTTTTATAGAGTCACATTATGAATGCTTTACTTATAAACAAATGTATTTAATATATCCTGGAGTTATTCTACATATCTGTTACCTCTCAAACTTTTTTTTTTTTGGTATTACAGGTTTTCCTGTCCTTTATAAAAGAGTACACTAAACACCAGTCTTTTTATGACAATTAGAAATGACCATTGCAAGCCTTGCATAAGTGTGTGAGCTTTATTTGTATTTGACTGTCAGTGTTTTCTTTAATTTCAGTGTTCTTGATAAGCAGGGTTGATAGATAACTGAATTCCTTAATGAAAACAGCTGTACATCAGCCATAGTATATATTAGTCAGCTTTTATGAGTTATCCAGGAAACCTAACCACATTTTTACTGTTTCTATGAGAAAAAGAATTTTGATTTTAAAATAATGGAAAATAAGCTCCTTTGTAAGTTCCAAGCTGCTTTCATTTGTCTTATGGTCTCTGTGGGACTAATAAGGCTGTGTATCATGGTGGGATGCTCTTTTATTTTACTTACATTTCATAATATTGTCAGAACTTAAGAAATATTGAAGTCAGAGAGAAATATGCCTGTAAAAATATTCCTTAGCTAATAAGCATAGTTTTACCTCTTGGCTGGTCTGTTGAAATATATCTGAATTCAGCTAAAATGGATGCAGTGATATTAATCAACATTTTTTCCTCGTGTGTGACATGTTTTCATTTTTTCCTGTATTAAGGAATCATCAAGTGTGTCTACAATGCAAGATTTACTTCTCAGTAAACAGGAATTCTCCTTCTGCTGTTTCAGGCCGGAGCCTCAGCAGAAAGCTCCCTTAGTCCCCCCCCCACCGCCACCGCCGCCACCGCCAGACCCCACGCCCCCCGAGCCAGAGGAGGAGATCCTGGGATCGGACGATGAGGAGCAGGAGGACCCCGCAGACTACTGCAAAGGTGATGTGCTTGCCCTCCCCACTGGGCTGTCCCAGAATTTGGGAGGGAATGGACTAGAGGAGTTAATAAGGTGCAAACTCCTTGGTCTTTATTTAATTAGCCTCTTGCTGTCAATATCATCTTAAATTGTTAGATAATTAAATATAGAAGAAACCAGAAAATGTAAGAGATACCAGAAGGGAAATGGTGAAAGAAAAAATACATGCATATGTACATATGTACTCTGGAGGACTGAAAAGAGGATTTTAATCTGCTGATAGAATTAAAGACAGTTTAAAGCAGACCAACTAAAGATAAAATCATAGTAAGCCATCTAAGAAAAATAGAGAATAGAAGGTACCAGCACTGCATTTGACTTCAAGTGTTCTGACTGCTAATACTCATAAGGGAACTGTTCCTTCCCCTGGATAGCTTTGAATTAATAGTATTCATTGTCTGTGGAAAGAAAGCCTGCCCATTTGTTTCCAGAGACAGACTTTTTCCTGGCATTGTAATCAATGAAAAAGACATTCTGTGGGTTCTACCATTGTGTGACATAGTGGATTATGTTTTCAGCTCTGATTTCACAGAAGATACAGGAATTATTCAAGTGAAGTGTTCTTACATTGATGCTTCATAGAGACCAAGAGCACAGAGTTAAACTCCTAAAAGGCAAGCATACTATGTGACGAATATCGAGAACAATATGATCCAGACTCCTCTCTGTGTAGACTGAACCCTGAGAATCTAGGAGAAAGGAAAATTGCTGTGTCTGTTTGTCTGTCTCTCTGTTACTCGACTTGCTCTTTTGGACTTCAGTTCTCTCTAATTGAAAAGTATCACAGTCTAGAATCCTGAGCTTCCGAATGGTGGATGAGACATCTGTTTGCTACAGATTATGGAAAAAGTAAATCAGATTCTATGCAGTGTGAGAAGAGATGACAGAAGTTGCACATATTCAGGTCATAAAGCATCAATGAATTTTTGTCTCTATAGTATCTATTGGTTTATCTACTGATGACAGGACATTTGTGTGTTGGTTAAGAAACAAGGAACTTTATAACTACCTGATAAGAAGAAGAGAAGGTTATTTTGCTATGAAAGTTTAAGAACTAATCTTCTGTTCTAACCTGATTGTTCCATAGATGTGCGTTCCTACACATAGAATAAATGTTTTCCTTAGAAAAAGGAGTGTGGGCCTTTAGCATTTGTATGAGTAGTGAATATGACCTCAAAGGTGTATGCCGTCTAATGTAGAAAAGAAGGTACAGAGATAGTTTGGAAAGCATTAAGAAGATGTTTTTCATCCTCTCTCTTACTCTGCATTTCTTGGTTCAGAAATTAAGTTGTTTGAAGAGAACATGTGGACAATTATCTTTCAATTTTGTTGCTTAGGCCAAAGAATTAGGTTGGTCTGTAGGAACTGTTCTCTTCAGCATGCAGCACCACCATGATGGAATGAGAACTGTTTGCTTCACACTTGACTCTTCAATATGTGGGTCAGGAGATGTAATCAGTACTCTCATCCTTTAACCACCTCTGGATCAGCACAGTGAACACCCCATACTGAAATACAGGGCTATCAGCAGTAGGTAACATTCACTGAACTCTAAACAGCTTAAGTGTTGTACTCAACCTTGCTAAGGCATGTTACTGATGGTAAGTTTTTCTTCTTACACACACACACACACACACACACACACACACACACACACACACACACACACGCCTAACTTTGGTGCCTCAAGTCAGCATCACATGGGACATGGTGCTTTACTCTGTAGACTATAATACTTTGTCTAAGACAACTGACATAAATGCATTCAAGGATTGCATGGAATTGGTGGGAATGTCTGGGATAAAAACTGTGGCTTCCTCTTCTTCCCCTCATGAATATTATAGGAACTATTTGTTTGTTACTAACATGTTTTATCACCCTGGACTACTTTAGTGTATTTTGCCTACAGTCAAGTACATTGTCCTGTATAACCACAACACAACCATCAAAATCAATAAGGAAGTTAGCATTGATACATTTCTACCCCTTAGTCATCAGATTCCATTGAGGTTGTGTAAGTTGCCCAGTATTGTACCTTACGTGAAACTGATCCATTGCAGATTCAGCAGAATAACGTTACATTTGTTTTCTTGTTTCTTTAATCTGGAATAGTTCTCTAATCTTTTCTTGGTTTTCATGACTCATGTTTTCGAAGATTGTAGGCCCATTATTTTGTATAATGTTTCTCAACTTGGAATATTAAAAATGTATTGTTTGAGAAATGTTCTCATCGCATGGTTTTGATCTATGCCATTATAGTTGATGTCAGTCAGTTGTTTAAGATGTGTCTACAAGGTTCCTTCTCCGTAAAGTTATTCTTTTCCCCCTGGTAATTGGTAAGATTTTGTTGGGAGTTCCCTTGAGACTGTATATATCCCTTTGTCCGTAGATTTATTTCCTTCTTTTTTTTCCATTCCATCTGCCCCTCCCATCAAGACCTCTGTCTGTCTATCTCAGATGGACTCATTTGTAGATTTCCCTTCTATTCGGTGTTACAATAAGTTACTCTCCTTACTTGTTTAGATGTTTAGATTACCCCAAATTCGGCCATTAGGCATTCCTTCAGGTTGGTTCTGTGTCCTTCTGAAATGCCCCTATCATTCCTTGAACGCTTTCTTACTTTTAACTGCAGTAAGATATTTCAGATTAGTTTTGTGTTTTCCCTACTCTAGACCTGGAATCGGCTCTTTCCACTGGAGCTCTGTTTGTTTTAAGTGGAGAAGACATTTAGAAAGCAGGTCTGGGGGGAAAAAAAGAAGGAAAGCAGGTCTGGGCATTAGGTGTGATTATACTTCTGGGGTGTTACTGCTTCCAGATCTCTCAGCACAGAGCTGGGGATACACATACATGTTTCCTTTGTGTTTCTATATATTTCTATATATTTCTATAAAATCCATGAGTGTAGTCTGATACCTCTAATTCTACTATAAATCCACCAAGGATTCAGCCGAGTTCTCTCCCTTTCTCTATTTGTAGTTTCTTTCTTTGGCAGTAAGAGATGAAGCTGTCATTATCCTCATCACATTTACGTATCTGATTGATTTCCTTGTATGTGACGGGTCACCAGTTACATCACTGCCGTGTGGGGACTTGTCCTCCTTTCCTACTCACCTAGCTTGTGCTCAGACGTCCTTTGTTGCCCAGCCCTACCTGGTAGCTGTGGACTGAACTGTTGAGGAAGGAGGAAAGGGAATGATGGCTCCACAGTTCAGGGGTATGTGTCTGTGGGGGTGTCCTGTGTGTCTTCTATCACTTTACCTGCTCTTGTTTTTTTTTTTTTGACTTCAAGTCTGGAGAACCTGTGCCCCTCCAGCCCCTTCTCAATACTCCCAAAGTAGACTAAAACGTCACAACAACAAAGCACACCATGTATGTTACATCTTTAAAAGGAAATATTTGTTTACTATAGGAAATACAGGTATGTTGTGGGGGCAGGGTAGGTTGGTGGAATGGGAAAGTCACTTGGAATCCCCATCAGGGGCCACAGTAAGCTTTTGGGTCACTGCCATTCTGAATCATTCGTGAGCAGCCAAATTGCATCTTAACTTTTTACCTCTTTCCCTTTAAACGTCTTTCTCCATCAAAACTTGTAAAGATTAAGAGGTATTATAATTAGCGCACATAATGTAGGGGGTGGCACGGGGAAGGCAGTATAGTACGGAGAAGACAAGTGGTGACTCTATAGCATCTTACTATGCCAATGGACAGTGACTCTACTGGATTATGTGGGGGGGGCTTGATAATGGGGGGAATCTAGTAACCACAGTGTTACTCATGTGATTGTATATTAATGATATCAAAAAAACTTGTGAAACGTCAACATTCAGCATTCTGACAAAAGGGCTACTATTTAAAGTTCGACTTGGCTAAGGCATTGTTCATTGCTCCTTTCCACTTGCCTTGGTGTTCTCTTTAGAGTGGGACTCTTCTGTCTTCCTAGCCAGCTTGTTCCTATCCATCTTATTTTTAGATCTCCCACCAAAATCCAGGAGCATTATGGGCCTTGTATATGAGAGACCTGGGTTCAAAACCTGGCTTCCCAGTTCTGTATCCTGGGACAAGTGCCTTTCCTGGAGGCTTCAGTTTCTTCATTCATTTCTCTATATAGCAACATCTACCACCTATGATTTTATGAGGATGAAAATGAGACAAATATGTGAAGTATCTGGCATGCTCCCTGATCCATAGAAGAGTCTTTTTTTTAATAATTTGTTTTGTTAAGGTATTTTTGATACACATACACTCTTATGATGGTTCATATGAAAAACAATGTAGTTACTACATTCACCCATATTATCGAGTCCCTCCCACCATATCCCACTTCAGTCACTGTCCATTAGTATAGTAAGATGCCACAGAGTCACTACTTGTCTTCTCTGTGCTACACTCACTGTCTTCCCCATGATCCTCCCCACCCATGTGTACTAATCATAATACTCCTCAATCGCCTTCTCCCTCCTTCCCCACCCACCCTCCCATACCTCTCCCCTTTGGTAACTGCTAGTCCCTTGTAGTCTGTGAGTCTACTGCTGTTTTGTTCCTTCAGTTTGCTTTGTTGTTATACTCCACGGATGTGGGAAATCATTTGGTACTTGTCTTTGTCGGCCTGGCTTATTTCACTGAGCATAATACCCTCCAGCTCCATCCATGTTGTTGCAAATGATAGGATTTGTTTGTTTCTTATGGCTGAATAGTATTCCATTGTGTATATGTACCACCTCTTCTTTATCCATTCATCTGCTGATGGACATTTAGGTTGCTTCCATATCTTGGCTATTTTAAATAGTGCTGCAGTAAACATAGGGGTGCATATGTCTTTTTTAATCTGAGAACTTGTATTCTTAGGGTAAATACCTAGGAGTGGAATTCCTGGGTCACATGGTATTTCTATTTTTAGTTTTTTGGGGAACCTCCATACTGCTTTCCACCATGGTTGAACTAGTTTACATTCCCACCAGCAGTG